AGCATCAAACGTGCCCCCTGTTTTCATTCCTGGGACAATCAAAGTTCAGCCCATTTTTGCATGCACTCGCGATACCAGTCGTGCCATCATGATCCGGATAAGAGTGCCTGTGGTTTTGTCTCACGTTTTCTCTTACCGTCCACGTTCAGGCAGGTTTTACAACCTGTTACTCAGCTGCCCTCTTCTTTAATTCCACTGTAGATGAGACTAAGATTAGCGCCAATTATGATACTGATAGGGTCCCTTGTTTTCACTGGGTTTTCTTCCTATTACAGCCCCCTTTCAGGGAGGATCTACAATCGTTGTTATTGATAATAAGATGGCCTCTTTTCAGGACTTTGGTCTTCACGGTCAAGATTCACCCTGTGCTTCTCACCACTCTCAAGCATAAAAAGCCTCCCTGGTTTTCATTCCTTGATTCTTGGAGTTATTCTGACCAGGTGCTTGTCCAGGACTAGCCTGGCTATCTCCTCAGCCTTCCACGTCCTCAGCCAGCCGTGTCCTCCACCGTCCACATCCTCCGCTGTCCACGTCCTCCGCCGTCCACATCCTCCGCTGTCCACGTCCTCCGCCGTCCACGTCCTCCGCTGTCCATGTCCTCAGCCAGCCCTGTTCTCCGCCGTCCACGTCGTCCGCCGTCCACATCCTCAGCCAGCTCTGCCCTCCCCACCCTTCTCCTGTCCCAGGTGTCCACGGTGGTCCAGGCCAGGCAGCTGGGGGGTAGGTGGGTGCAGGGCTGACCTCCTGGGCCACCGGTTGACCTCGCAGAAGGACCTCAGGTGCCATGCAGCAGACCAGCCATGTGTCAGCCTTCTTCACTTGCCTCCAGGCAGCGTCCACTCCCGTCCATCTCCCGGGCTTCAGGATGACAGTGCTGTAGGCGTCCTGAACACACAGAAGGACATGGTGGGTCTGCTGGAGAATTCTCTCTTGTCATGCAAGCGGTCAACGCAGGGTGTGCGGGAATGGCTCAGGGGACCCCCGTGGGGAATGGGCTTGTGCCACAGAGAAAGGAAAACGAGGGTGACCGCTTCCCAAGACCTAAGGTCTCTGAGCTTGTCCTGTGTACGTCTGTGACCCTAAACCTATACAGATGGGCATTGCCCCGCCACACTTAATATACTGAACCGTTTCTAGAAATCAGGGCTCCCACGCCTGCTGGCCCACAGCAGCTGGTCACATGTAGACTGCTGAGAAGAGCTGTCCCCCTCTGCCCAGCGTGGCGTCCTCCCTCTCCTGTCAGAACCTCCAGGAAGCTTGGGAAGAAGCCGGACCGCAACTCCGACATCTGTGCAGTGACCGGTCAGCTCCGTGTCACGTCGACCTCTGATTCTCTCGCGCTGATTGCTTACTCTGGGGGGATCTCAAGGCTTGTCTGTCTGCATCTCGTGCACAAACGTGGCCTCACAGCACAACAGCCACGTGCTCTGGTCGTTGTCTTCTCACTGATCGTTCTGCTAATCCCCGTTTTCTTCCTCTAAACCTGCCAGATGGCAAAACGAATGAATGCTGTCGTGACTCGTCTACGCACCTTGTTAACATCTTCTCAGCCGTGTGGGGACAGACAGCAGGCAGATGGGTGACACAAGCTATGTAAAATAAAGAAATACCTTCCTGAAAAGTCTTTATTAAAATTATTTCTGTGTGTGTCCTGTCGAATCGGATCTGACTGGTACAGGAGGAGAGTGCCCCTCCTTCTCCGGCAGAGCATCTGGTGGATTCAAACCGTGCACCTCGGGGATTGCAGGGCAGCTTCACTAGGTGGTGATACAGGCAGCTGGTGCTGCTTCTTCCGACGAGGAGAGGGTCCAGCTCTGGCTTTCGCCGTTGACCTCGTAGTAGTCGCTGCCGCTTTATTTTGTCCGTCTCTAACGGTGTGTCTTTTCAAGGTCTCTGTCATGGTTTTCTCTGGGATCCGGCGTTATCCCCTGGACAGCTCCCAGGAGGTCTCCAGCAGCCGAAAATTCTCATATCAGTTCTCTTGTCTCTTGGGTTCACAGTCTGCCGCTGTATGCAGATGACGATTTTGGGTAAAACAGGGCTAATAAGACTGACGGAAGGAGGAGGAGGAGGGCATGAGGTTATCGTGGTCCTTGTGAACTGACTCGGAAGCAGCCCACCTGGCGCACCTGAAACACCTGCATTTAGGATGGCCGCACGCCTCCTGGGCCAATTCATGGGACTGTTCCGTGCTCTTCAACACCCCAGCTCCAAGGAGTCCCATTTTCTGTCCTCCTCCGTCATTGCCCAGCTCTCAGTAGCATAGGGAGGGATTGAGAGGACCGTGGTCTGAGATGGGGGCCACCTGAGAGTGGAGGCCAGGTGAACTGGCAGGAGAGCCGATCATCTCTGGACTGCATCGCTCTGTTTCTGCAGTCAGATTCCCAAGGGTTGTCAGACGTCAGGAACTTGACAGTTACCTGCTTAGCTGCTGAGAACTGGACAGTGGATAAGGCTGACCGGGAGAAGCATTGGAGACCCTGAGCTGTGCTGTTGGAGACGAGAAATGAACATCCCATGGACGGCCAAGAGAAGACATCCGCACGGACAGGGTGCAGCCAGAGTGGTGTTAGAAGGCAACGTGATCGAGCTTAAGCAGACACCGAGCACGTTGTTGGAAGGCGCCCCTTGGGAAAGGATGTCATGCAGGGAAATGGGGAGAGTCAGGGAAAGAGAGGAAGACCCCCAACTCGATGGGTGGGGGGTCACTGGGAGACTCACAGTCAACCGGGCATCACAACAAACCCCAAGGCGGGTCATCAGAGCATGGACTGAGCCCACGTTGGAATGTGTCGGTTTTGAGTTAGGTCTCTGTTTGGGGTCAGCACTGGTGGTTCCTCACGCCCTGACACGTCCTGGAAGGTCCATCCACGTAGACACTGTCCCTGAGCCCTGGCTCGAGGGCAGAGGCCCTGCGGCATCCACAGAGCCGCTGGGAGCTTGGAGGAGGTTGTAACCCCAAGCCACTGGACTGAGGCCCGTCTTCTGTCCTTCCCTCTCCTGTTTCAGGTGCTTCTCACGTGAAATCTTGTCCGAGAAGGACAGCGTTCCCCGGACCCTGCAGAGGATGGAGAAGACACGGGTCAGTTCACTGGACAGTTCACGTCATTGTTAACCTCAGTGACGGACGGTGGACGTGAGCCAGTGGGAATCGAGGTAGACGGACAGGCCTAGTCCTCGAAGGGAATGGAGGCACAGGACGTTCAAGGCAGCTTCATGTCACGTACCCAGGACATGCCCCAAGGAGGGACAGGTCCTTGGAGAGGGACGTCATGCTGGGGAGGGCGGAGGGGCAGCTCAGGAGAGGAAGACCCTCGAGGAAATGGATCGGTCCAGTGACCAGGGTAACCGGGATGGCAGTGTTGGAGACACTGCGATTGGCTCAGCATGGAGCAGGGTTTAGGGCTGTTGGACACGGGGTCGCTGTGAGTCACAGCGGACTCGATGACACGCAACAACCACAAGAAGTAGGTTTGGGATCCCTGATGTGTATTCACTGAGCAGTGACATAGAATGACTTGGCCCAGCAGCCCGAATGCTGTGTCCCCCCATCGGTACACATTGGTATCCCGTGCGTGTGAACGTCAGACTCACCGTTTCTGTCCATTCTCGAGAGGGCGGTGGTGACCCAGCACGTGATCTCTTTCAGGAGGCAGTGCTGTTGGATGACGTGTTCCTGGTGTTCACTCAGGAAGAGTGGACCCTGCTGACTGTCACGCAGATGAAACTCTACCGGGATGTGATGATGGAGACCTTGAGGAACCTGGAGGCCGTAGGTAAGGACGGCCGGTGTCTCATCCAGGAGGCCGTAGGGGAGGACGGCCGGTGTCTCATCCAGGAGGCCGTAGGGGAGGACGGCCGGTGTCTCATCCAGGAGGCCGTAGGGGCGGATGGCCGGTGTCTCATCCAGGAGGCCGTAGGGGAGGACGGCCGGTGTCTCATCCAGGAGGCCGTAGGGGAGGACGGCCGGTGTCTCCCGTGTCAGGTCATCACCAGCAGTGACGTCAGTCCTTCCCACTCTTGCCCTGGGGCTGAGGAAATGAACAGTTCTCGAGAACTGTGCTGCTTACACATGCAGCCTTCTCTACAACATCCAGCTCTGTGTATGTAGACCAAGCCTGGAGTTGTCAAGAAAACACCACGCGGCCTTTAAAGCTTGATGTCCACGAGAAATTTTCTGTTTTCAGACAGTGTGAAGTATTTCAGCGTTTGATCGCAATTTAATATGCTGCTTTTACTCAGTCAACTCACACGTGTCCATCCTCAGCGGCCCAGGGGACTCCCTCGGTTGCAGAGAACTGGAGGTTCTCATGGATGTGTTTTCTTAGCAAATAGCTTTTTGCGCCACTGCCCACACGGTGCAGCTCTTAACATGTCGTCAACTCTGTCTTGTCAGTCAGTTTGTATTTCCGTACAAAGTCCTTTGCTCCTTCTGTTTGTTGATGGTGCAGCTAACGCGAGTTCTTTCCCCAGCCGTTCAGCACAGCATCGGCAGGGAGCAGTGGTCCTGTGTGCCTGTCATCACGCAGTCCATCAAGAATTTCAGGACCTGGTCATCCTTGTTAGACGCCAGCGGCGAGCCCCAGGACGCGCGTAGAAACCAGGGCGAGCGTGGCAGGTGAGTGTCCGCCAAACCAAGATGTGAGCAGAGACACACGTCGCAGTGTCCCCACGTGGACCGGAAGCTGGCGTTCAGAGGTTGCAAAGGAAGGGTCCAGCGTGCTGTGTGCGTGGTTACTGTGGGTTTTGAGTCTTTGGGTTGGAATCGAGGCCCAGCTGAGCCGCCTTCAGGTTCTGAGAGGCTGGGAAGGACACAGGAGGACGTGGCCCATCGCTCCCCCACTCAGAGCAGCTGGCGCGTTTGAACCTCCTGCCCTCCCACTGACGGGCACCTCAACGGAATCCGTTAGAATGCCACACTGACACACCATTCGATTGCCTGCCACACACAGAATGTTGTCGGGCGTTCTCCCAGACACCGTCAGGAATGCACGTCCCTCTCAAATCTGCACGATGTTCTGCCGTCCACACTGCGCGCACACTGGACACTGGACGGCTGAACCGTCACAAACCATTTTCCGGCTCCCATACACCAGGAGACGCGTGGACACATCTTTCTCTAAGGGAATACACAGTAAATCAGTGTCTATACGTTGATCACATTCTCATAGATGCATCACACATTGTCTTTGAAGCATGTTTACCTTCTGACAAATCATTCTGGCATCTCCTCAATTATCACACCAGTGCCAGTATTTTTACTCTTTCTCCTAGACTTCTAGTAGATTACTTAGGAGGTGAACTTTGAGATAATGTTAGGTAAAAATTCTGCAAGTTGTGTTTTGCAGCCAAGATTTTAAAGTAATTGGTGAGGACACCAACAGTTATACGTTTCCAATTTTATCAAAGCAATGCCCGTATTTGTAGCATGTTCTGTAAGAGCTGAACTTTCAACACAACGATGGGCAAAACCTCTGTGTCGATTTCTGTTTCCATGTGACCATTTTAAAATACTAAGTGATGATACTATGACCAAAAAGTCTCCTCTTTGATCAAAGCAGCACCAGTCCTTCCAGTAGAGCTTGGAGACATCAGGCCAAAAATGTGTGTAGTGATTGTGTTTTGCAGCCTAGATCTTGAAATAATTGGTGGTGGCACCACGAGTGAAAAATCCCCTACTGTAAAAGCTGCATCAGTATTCTTTCTACTAGATTTCCTGCAGATTATTTAAGAGGTGAACTTTGAGACGATGTCAGACAAAAAATGGCTTGTGTCGATTGTGTCTTGTGGTGACAATTTTAAAATAATTGGTGATAACATCATCAAAATCTCTCCTATTTTGTCAAGGCAGTGTCAGTCTTGTAGATTACTTAAGGGGTAAACTTGAGAAAACACGAGGGCGGGGGAACTGTGTCTTGCAGTAATGAATATAAAATCAGTGGTGGCAAAATCATGGAAAAGTCTCCCATTGTGTCAGACCAGCGCCAGTATGATTTCTAGTAGATTATTTAAAAAGTTACCTTTGAGACGTCCGGAAAACAGCAGCGATTTTAAAACAATTGATGGTGCTAATAAGGGCAAAAAGTCCATTTTATCCAACCCATCACCAGAACTTAAGAGGTGCATCTTTAGAGCACACTGGGCAAAATCCTGGGCTTGTTGCAGGTATTTTGCAGACACCATTTTAAAAGGATTCGTGGTGAGACTGTGATCGAAGAGTCTCCCGTTTTGTCAAACCAGCACCATTGTTCTTTCTCGTAGATTTCTTGTACATTCGTTACAGGGTGAACGTTGCGACAGCGTCACGCAAAAAAGCTGTACGTGTTGACTGTATTTTAACGAGACGGTTTTACAACGGTTTACGATCACTCCGGCTGTTGCCTCCTTTTTATTGTGTTTTCCCCGCAGACACGATGTCCTGGATGAACTCCGACCCAGGACTGCAGGCGGCGGAATCATGACCCACCTTCCCGGCCTCGGCGTGCCGCAGCGCAGTGCTCCCAGTCCGCGCCGAGGCGCCTTCCCGACTCCGTCGTCGCAGTCCACGCCTGCGGGGTCCCGCGGTGGAGGCCACGTGTCCAGGGCGCACGGACAGGACCTTCCGGGTGTGTCTGCTGCACCTCACAGTCCTGCCGCACAGCTTTTCCCACTGCCCGACGGCGGCGCCGAGAAGCCTTGCGAATGGGCAGAGGCGGGTGTCGCCCTCGCTGCGCGCACAGGACGCCCGGAGGCAGAGCAGCCCGCTCAGGGCCAGGAGACCTCGCGTCCGCGCTCCCTGCCGGCGCGGCCCGTGCCCTCCGCGGACCCGCATGGCTGCCAGCAGTGTGGACAGACCTTCAAGTACAGGTCACTGCTGGTCATCCACACGCGTCAGCACACGGGCGAGCGGCCGTACGCGTGTGCCCAGTGCGGGAAACGCTTCATCCACAGCGCGGCCCTCAAACGGCACATGCGCACGCACACCCGCGAGCGCCCCTTCCGCTGCGACCAGTGCCAGGCCGGCTTCCCCACGCCGGGCTCCCTGGACAGGCACCTCAAGTCCCACAGCGGCCGGCGGCCCTACGCCTGCCAGGCCTGCGGCAAGGCCTTCGCCCACCCTTCGCGTCTGCGCAAGCATCTCGGCACGCACGCCGCGCAGTCTCCGGGCACCGGACGTCAGGCTCGGGGCTCCGCAAGTCAGTGTCCAGATGCCAAGGACACGGGAAGTGAGTCTCCCGGTGCCGGAGGTCAGGCGGCGACCCCCCAGAA